ATTTTAAGTCCTCTTGACTTTCAGCAAGCATTTTTGTATCATCTGCATATCACAGGTTGTTAATGAGTCTTCCTCCAATCCTGATGTCACGTTTTTCTTCATATAACCCAGCTTCTCAGATTATTTGGCCAGCATACAGACTGAGTAAATATAGTGAAAGAATACAACCTTGCCGCACAACTTTCTCAATCTGAAACCATTCAGTGTTCCCATGTTCTGTTTGAACAACTGCCTCTTGGTCCGTGTACAGATTCCTGATGAGCACAATTAAGTGTTCCAAAATACTCATATTTCACAATGTTCTTTTGGCAGATCTTGCGTAGTCAATAAAGCACAGGTAAACATCTTTCCGATATTCTCCGCTTTTCAGCCAAGATCCATCAGACATCAGCAATGATATCCCTCGTTCCACATCCTCTTCTGAATCCGGCTTGAATCTCTGGAAGTTCTCAGTCAATGTATGCTTGCAGGCGTTTCTGTATTACCAAACATAATAGGGGTTCAAAATTTGTGGAATAAATTGAATGCCTGAGTTGTTGAAAAAAGGAACGAGAGAAGAAAGGAAACCTGGAGCCAAATGAAAGAGATCCTTTTACATGAAGCCAAGAATTTATACTTTTCTCATAATCAGTGGAGAATTATTAGGAATTAAAAAAACTTTATTTTTGCTATTTTATTAACAACACCTAATAAGAAAACACCACAACAGTTACTTAATATTATTCTTGTACTTTACTTACTTTTCCAAGAAGATATAATAGGTAAGGCAATAGGAATATGTTCAATTTCTAAACCATTTTCAGTTATTCGATGCAATCGTCCACGTAGTTTAACATTCTTTTTTATAAATTCCACTGGAATATCTGAAGAACTTGTAAATTTTGATGTCTGTTGGTGTACAAGGAGAAAAATAAAATATTTTTATTATTTTCCTTTTAAAATAAAAGAAGTTAAATTGTTATCAAAACATTAAACAAGAAATCATAACAACAAATATTTTTCTATTTCACAACTTTATATTAATACTTTAATCAAAGGTTTTATAGAAATATTATTTAGAAATCACTATTTTACTATTCTAATTTAGTATTTTGTTGTTAAGTGCCGTCGAGTCGGTTCCGACCCATAGCGACCCTGTACAGGGTTTCCGAGGGTGTAAATCTTTACGGGAGTAGAAAGCCTGATCTTTCTCCCGCGAAGCAGCTGGTAGTTTTGAACCGCTGACCTTAAGGTTTGCAGCCCGATTCGTAACCACTACGCTACCAGGAGATCAGGTTTTCTACTCCTGTAAAGATTTACACCCTCGGAAACCCTGTACAGGGTCGCTATGGGTCAGAACCGACTCGACGGCACTTAACAACAACAATTTAGTATTTAGAGATATCAAATAGACTCCTGCCATCTAAGAGCTTAGATCATCAAAATATGCCACATTTCCTCAAAAAGCAGTGAGTATCTGTGTGTGGCTTGATGGCACTTAACAACAACAATCTGTGTGTGGAACCATACAAATCTGGTTAGTCACTATCCTATTTTGCACATACATAATCTATTTGGGCTGATATTGCCAGAGGAAGAAACTTTCAAAGGCTGAATCCAATTAGGTTGTTATTGTTGGTGTGAGTTGCTGCTGAGTGGATTCTGACTCCTGGCGATCCAGTGCTCCACAGGGTTTTCAAGGCTGTGGCCTTTCAGAAGTAGATGAGCAAGCCTGTCTTCTAAGGTGCCTCTGTGTGGATTCAAACTGTCCATCCACCGTTTGGCTAGTGGTTGAGTGCTCATCATATTTCTATGCAAACACCCTATGTGTTATACTGTTTTTTGTAATCTCCTCCTAAGCTAGCTTCCTACGTGTGTTATAGGGATTTGTTTATTATTTGTTTCTTATATATATATATATGTTTATATATATATATACACACACACACGTGGGTGCATTATATGTGAAAAGATACAATAACCCCAGAATTCCAACATTAAATTAGAATCCTTAATTAATACGCTCTTTTTCTTTTTTTAAAATCCTGTAGAAAGCAAATTTATCTAATTTCTTGAAAACAAGGCTAACACGAGGCTTTACAAAATCTTACACCTAGATTTTTTACCCTGTCAACATTTTACACCGGTGTCTCTCACATTGTTATACGACGGGGAAGAGCTTCCTGGCTTCATTGTAATCCTAGCTTGGTAAGAGGCTCACAAACACAGGAGGATCAATTAATACCTGACTTCCTATGACAGTAAAGTTTATCTAATATTAGTGATATAAAAAGAGATTAAACAAGCAAGCAAGATAAGCAGAGAAGGCGGAAAAGTGATGCAAAGCCACACGAAGATCACCTAGGAGCAGAAACTCAAAAGAGACAAGGCTCTTCCTCCAGAGCAGACAGAGACAGACCACCTTCCCCAGAGATGCATCCTCAATTCAGACTTCTAGTGTGCTAAACTGTGGGAAAATCAGTTCCTGTTTGTTGAAGTCACCCTTCTGTGGTATTTCTGCTATAGCAGCACTAGATAACTAAGACATATTCATTTTACAGGTGGGAATGAAGGAGGTTAAATAACTTGCCCAAAGTCACAAAGGTAGTAAATAATGGTGCTGGAACTCAAACCTACAACAGACTCCTAGGCTTTGGCCTTTAGTCACATTCAATACTGTTCAGTGCCATCAAGTCACTTCTGACTCACAGTGACCCTGCATAGGGTTTCTAAAGGAGTTGGTAGGTTTGAACCATTGACCTTGTGGTAAGTAGTCCAGTGCTTGTACTACAGCTCCACAATCGATTCCTACAAGCAGTCATGTACTTGTAGATCCATGCAGAAAACAAGCTTTTCATTTCAAAATTTCTCATTCCATAATATTAGAGTCATACAAAGAACCCATTACCCATCCTTAAACTTATTAAAGGAAAGATTCTCAGCTCCCAGGATGCTCAACCTTCTCTGCTTGCCTGCTGCTGAGAGGTAACCATTTTGAATTTTGTGTTTGTCCCTCTCTTGCCATCCAAAAAGTTGCAGTAGTTAAGCACTCAGATGGTATCTGAAAGGTCAGTGGTTCAAACCCATTAGCAG